CAGAGTGAGCTGGCCGAGCGCGTCGGGAAGGTGGGGTCCCCTGGGGCTCGCCGTGGGGCGTGGGGCACGGGGCGCAGGGCTGCCACGTCCTCAGCGCTGACGCTCTGTCCCCCCCATGTCCGGCTCTAGGTGTCTGTCTTCTACAGGACCAGCCCAAAGCACAAACTCAAAATCATCAAGGTCAGTCGTGTGCCTCTTCTGGTCCCTCGGGGCACAGCTCGTGAGGGTGGCGGCTCTGCTCACGGGTGGCCCAGCGGGGGCCCCAGGGCAGCTGCCCCGGCCTCTGGGGAGAGAACTGGGGGGTGGGGCCGTGCTGTGTTCACCAAAGGCAGGAAGTGGGAACGGGGTGGTGCGAAGGAAGGAACGCCGAGGCCAGCCTTGGTTAGTTGCTGCTGCTTGGTGTATTCCTGTATTGGTGTTTTAACTCCAGGCCTTAGTTTCCTCATCTGTAAACTGGGGAGAATGTGAGCAATACCAGCTAATTCACAGGCAGGAGAGGAGAGGGTGAAATGAAGCCAGGCCCATGAAGCCTTTGGCAGCTGCCTGGCTCGCAGCAGTGCCCAGGAGAGACCTGGTGCAATGGTGCATCATAAACAAGAGGGCTAGAGTCAGAGACTCCTGCAGATGCGTGCTTTTCTTGCACACAGATGCTTTGAAAAGTTACTGTTTAATGCTTGTGTTTTTCTCTTTTGTGTTACTTGGCGTGTTTTTAGTTCTACAGAGTGAATCTCTGTGCCAGTCATTCTTCAAAGAAAATATTAATACCTATTGAGCACGACATGGATTCACGGGGACAAGCTGATTATTCTTTGTTGATGGTTGTCAACTGAAAGAAAACAATAAAGCACCCTCTGAGAGTCGCGAGTTAAGTTTTACTTGAGGCAGAATGAGGACGATAGCCCAGAGACAGCATCCCAGGTAGTGCTGAGGAACCACCCCAAAGCAGGGAGGACAGATGGAGGGACTCTGTGACACCAGAGATGCAACTCTGGTGACGTGCTGACAAGCACACGTTTTAGCAGAGGCTTGCTACTAGTCACAAGGAGCAGATGTCTCTGTTGATGACTTTTTAGCGTTTTTCTGGATATGAAATGATGTAAGAATCGAGGCTCTTAACATCCACTCCTGAAAATAGCTAGCCTGTTCTGTGGGTTTCTCCCTCATTCCCCATCTCCACCCTGAGCTGCTTTCGGGAGGTGTGGAAGGTCAGCGGCTGCAGTGGCCAGTGACTTCATCCTTGTAGAAGCAGGCGGCCAGACAGTTTTTGTTGTTGGCACTGTCCCCTCTGTGGTCTTAGTTTAGGGCTCACCACAGCCCTGAAAAGGAGGGGCTGTGATCCCACTTTGCAGATGGAAAAGCTGAGGCTGAGAGGGTCACAGCTCACCTGGTGCCCCGGCTGTGGTGCAGTGGGAGACTAGGAGCCACAGGGAAAAAGGGTCTGGAAGGCAGGTGCTCAGGCTGCAGGCCCCCCCGGGCTCCTCTTTCTGAAGGCTTTGCAGGAGACGGGGGCGATCGTGGCCATGACTGGGGATGGGGTGAACGACGCGGTCGCCCTGAAGTCAGCAGACATCGGCATCGCCATGGGGCAGACGGGGACAGACGTCAGCAAGGAGGCCGCCAGCATGATCCTGGTGGACGACGACTTCTCGGCCATCATGTAAGCCGCCCTTCAGGTGGCTCCTTAGTCACAGAAATGCCTGGGGCGGCAGCCCCCTGCTCTGCTGTGGCGGATGGACACGGTGTCCCCAGGCCCACCCACCACGGAAAGCAGGGTCAGGGGCCCCTTCTCCTTGGTGAACACTTTGGGAGTCCTGGGTGAGGGCTGGGGTCCCGGGGCTCAGACAAGAGAATAATCTATGTGCAGTCTTCAGACAGAAGGGTGATAGTGGCTCAGGGACCTGTCCCCAGGGCTGGTGACACCTGTTAGGACATACCCCTCCTCTACTATTCCCGAGAATGCCAGCAAGGAGAAATGTTATCACTCATGACACCATCACTTCCTTTAGCAACTGATGGAGCTGGCTAACTCTTCCCACCCTGCCGTCTTTCTCAGTAAACGCTTCCCTCTCTCTTGCAGGAACGCGGTGGAGGAAGGCAAGGGGATTTTTCATAACATCAAGAACTTTGTCCGCTTTCAGCTGAGCACGTAAGTCCAGGCTGGCACCCCCTACCGGCCGGGTCTGGGAGCAGCTGGTGACCAGCCGTGTGTGTGTGTGTGTGCCCTGCAGGAGCATCTCAGCCTTGAGCCTCATCACGCTGTCCACTGTGTGCAACCTGCCCAACCCCCTCAACGCCATGCAGATCCTATGGATCAATATCATCATGGATGGGCCGCCGGCGCAGAGGTGAGGCAGCGGGCTGGTGGGGACATGCAGGGGGACACAATGAGCACGGGAGGAGGCATCTGGTGGGCTGGCCGGGTGATGGCAAACTCTGCCTCAAAGGCTCTCCCTGGGCTACCTGCATTCTGGTCACTGCCTGCAAGAAGTCCTCCCTGATTACTCTAGCAGCAGCCTCCTCCCTCCCAGCCACTTTACCCTGCTTTATTTTTGCCTAGAGGGGAAACTGTTTCACTGTTTATCTGATCATAATCCATCTCCACTCTAGGATGTCAGCTCTGTGGGGGAAGGCTTTGTCCCCCGCAGTGTCCTCGGCTCTGCAGTGGTGCTTGGCACACAGCAGGCGCTTAGGGAATTAGTGGCTGGATGAGTGAGGAGGGGATGTGAGGGACACATCAGCAGAGGGACACAGGAGGCCGGATGGGCTCTGGGGGCGGGGAGGACCATGTGATCATGCGAGGGGCTTGCCTGTGTCTGAGCACAGGGGAGGTGGGGCCACTGAAGTGTTACTATTACTGATCTAATCATCGCCAGTGACAGCTTCATTCCCCCCACGGCCAGCCAGAGGCTGACCTCTTCTCCATGCTCTTCCTGGGAACGGGGTGCGTGCACAGATGGACCACAGCTGTACCTGCCTAAGAGGGGTCTCCCCCAGCATGCTACCTCCTTGGTGTCCCCACACCGCCCTGCTGGCTGATCCTATTTCAGAGCTGGCTGAAGGCAGACCCCATTTCTCCAGGCCAACTGGGACAAGGCCAGGCCCAAGCTGGGGTGGAAGGGTCCCCCAGGTGATGGGTGGCCAGGCACTGTTCAGGATCTTTAGGTCAGCCGAGGGCAGGCTTTTCTGTGGCCCCGCAGGTGGAGGACCTGCAGGGCCGTCCGAGGGGTCCAGGCCGTGGGGGGTACGCGGGGAGCCGGGCGATGAGGGAGGGGGCCAAGATGACCTGGAGGCGCTGCGCACACCTGTCCAGGCCTTCCACGTGGACCCTGGCACGTCACTTCAGCGTGACCTTGTGCGTTCGACCTCTACACGTCTTTTCAGTGGTTTATCTCAAAGCATCCGGTTTTGTCCTGAGCAGCCTGGGTGTGGAGCCGGTGGACAAGGACACACTCCGGCAGCCGCCGCGGAACATCAAGGACCAGATCCTGAGCCGAGCCCTTGTCCTGCGGATCCTCCTCTCGGCCACCACCATCATCAGCGGGACCCTCTTCATCTTCTGGAAGGAGGTGAGGGCGTCCTCGCGGGCTCGGCCAGCTGGGCGGTGCGGTCCGGCCCCCGGGGCTCAGGGCCCATGGGGTGTGATGGAGGGGCAGCAGGCGGTGGGCGGAGGCGGACAGGCCACGAGGTCGCACCGCCAGAGACAGGATGGGACCCGGTGCCTCTCCTGCTTGCTGTTACCCCCGGGAAACCACCTCAGCTCTGAGAGAAAGTCCTGTTTTAGTCCCAGGAGGTGGCTATTTGGGAGACCTTACCTTTTTTAAGAACTTCTATTTTATCTTGGAGGATAGCTGATTTACCATGTTGTGTTAGTTTCAGCTGTACAGCAAAGTGATCCAGTGATACATACATTCATCCTTTTTCAGATTATCACTTACAGTTTATTACAGGATATTGAGTAGAGGTCCCTGTGCTATATACAGTAAGTCCTTGTATATAAATTCATCCCGGAGTCCCAATTTATCCCTCCCCTCCACGTTTCCCCTTTGGTAACCATGAAGTTTGTTTTTGAAGTCTGTGAGGCTGTTTCCGTTCTGTAAATAAGTTCATTTGAATCATTTTTTTTTAGATTCCACATCCAGCAATATCATATTTGTCTTTCTCTGTCTGACTTAGTGTGATAATCTCCAGGTCCATCCATGTTGCTGCAAATGGCATTGTTTCATTCTTTATGGCTGAGTAATATTCCATTATATATAATACACACACACACACATCTTTCTCCATTCCTCTGCCGATGGAGACTTAGGCTGCTTCCATGGCTTGGCTATTGTGACTAGTGCTGCTACAAACATCAGGGTGCGTGTATCTTTTCAAATTGTGATTTTCTCTAGATATATGCCCAGGAATGGACTGCTGGATCTTACGGTAATTCTATTTTTAGTTTTTTAAGGAACTTCCATACTGTTCTCCATAGTGGCTGTGCTAATTTACATTCCCATCAACAGTGTAAGAGGGCTGCCCTCCTCCATACCTCCTCCAGCATTTATAGACTTCTTGATGATGGGCATTCTGACTGGTGGGAGCTGGTATCTGATTGTAGTTTCGATTTACATTTCTCTAATAATTAGCAATGTTGAACATATTTTCATGTGCCTCTTGGCCATCTATCTGTACGTCGTCTTTGGAAAAATGTCTATTTTGTTCTTATGTCCATTTTTTTATTCGGTTGTTTGTATATTTTGGAAATTGATCCCTCATTGGTTGCTTTAGTTGCAAATATTTTCTCCCATTCTGAGGGTTGTCTTTTCATTTGCTTATGACTTCCTTTGCTGTGCAAAAGTGTTTTCTTTCTTGAAATACAGAATTTTATTTAGAAACTAAAGTAGAAAAAAAAATCCTGTCAAGAAATACCAGGTAGAAAATGCGGGCTCCCAACAAAATGAAATTTTAAGGCAACAAAAGTCTAAAAGGCCACGAAAGAGAAATAGCACTGCTGTGAATTGAACAATGGCTACTTATATTTTTTGGCACTGTTACGCGGAGTCTGGATCTTTCTCTGCATTCCACACAGAGCATGTACTACACAACAACTTTATCATGAAACAGCTGCTTGTTACCCACATTTTAGGACAAGCTGCCACTAGAAACAAGTCAATACCAATACATCAGGAACCGAGCAATCTCAGTAGTGGGTGAGGTTGCAGAATTCTGCCAAACGAAGGAACAGAATAGGCTGTGAGCAAAGCAAATGGGGGAGTTAAGAAAGAACATATTTTAAATGTTAATAATTAATTCAGACATTGTACTAAGTATTGTGCAAAAGAAAATTAACACGTCTATCTCCAAAGAGATTATTGCACTGGCAAAGGGTTCCGAGAACAGTGAAGGGCTGTGGACAGCACGTACCAAGAACACCCAGCCTTGGGGGAGCGGTGGTCTTCCCTGCTGACGCCCTTTTGCCAGAGGCCCAGAAAGAACTGGCAGCACTGTCACCCTGCCCACTGAGCCTCCACTGTAAGCGGCAAAGTGTGCGGCGAGAAAGAGAGGAGTCCCGAGGGGAGCAGAGAAACATGATCACTGTAAGCTTCTAAGACAGGAAGGTGGGCCGTGACTCCCTCCCATTCAGATCCCAGAGATGGGGGCCAAGTCCCCAGAAGTAGCTGTTAAGGCTTGAAAACTGGATACTCCTCATTGACTTAGAAATATCAAGGACAACCGGAAAAGTCCTCAGAGAAATGTTCCGTGAGGATCCAGCTCCTGGAAGCAGCACTGAAACATCCACTTTCCCGGGTGTAAGAGAGACATCTAATGGGACGCTGCGGCACCGCGTGGGGAGCTCAGCTCGGAGCTCTGTGATGACAAAGATGGGCAGGATGCTGGCTCAGGAGGGAGGCAGCATATGCATACTTCCAGCCAATTCACGGCGTGTGCAGCAGAAATCAACATGACACTGTACACAGTTATCCTCCAATTAAAAATACATGGGGAAAAAATTCAAGCTCTTAGACCCAGGGTCTCAGGGCTTGAAAGCATACCCTCTGTTCATCCAGGCAATGATGCCTCTTACATCGTCCTCTTGGTCAAGGACACTAAAATGGCTTTACAAAGCAACAAACTTACCTTTTGGACCAAGGTCCACTGGGCCTTTGAGGGAGGGTCAGCCAGCCCTGTGAGGCCTGGACCAGCAGGTCCCAAAGCTTCCAGGTTCAGGCCCTTCCTTCCTGGACATGATGTCAAGCACACAAAAACCCCTGCCATGTTACATTTCGCACTCTGAAGTAAGTTTAACAAGGTCCCACATGTTTCTTTTCATTGTTACTTTCATTACTTGAGGAGGAGGATCAGAGAAAGTGTTGCTGTGGTTTATGCCAGTGTTTTTCCTGTTCTCCTCTGAGTTTTACAGTACCCAGTCTTACATTTAGGTCTTTAATCCATTTTGAGTTTATCTCTGTGTGTGGTGTTAGAGAATGTTCTGATTTCACTCTTTTACCTGTAGCAGTCCAATCTGAAGAGACTCTTTTCTCCTCTGTAGGCAGGGGGTCTTTCCATGGGTCACCTTTCTGTGGCCCTGCAGGTTCAGGCACCCCTGTGCTGAGAGAGCCAGTGACCTAGGGAGAGAATGAGGCTGGCGTGTGAGCACCCGATCGCCTGTGTACAGGAGAGGGGCTGGCCGCGGCAATGGATCACCCCCATTTCTCAGCTTTTCTTGAGCATGCCCTCATCCTACCCTAAGAGGCGCGGCTTGGCTCCTTCCCGCATCCTGACCTCCGGAAAGTGGAGAGGCCCCACCTTTGTCCAGTCCAGGCACGCAGCCAGACACAGATTCTAACACAGTCCCGAGAGCGGGGTCCCCCGTCTCCCCCGCACCTCCTCACCCCGCGCACTCATGTTCCAGATGCCTGAGGACAGGGCAAGCACCCCACGCACCACGACCATGGCCTTCACCTGCTTCGTGCTCTTCGACCTCTTCAACGCCTTGACCTGCCGCTCCCAGGTGAGCCCCCGGCAGGACGGGATCGCGGCCTCCCAGCCCGAGTGCTCCAGCGGCTCATATGCGCTGACTGCTCTTCTCCCCCGCAGACCAAGCTGATCTTCGAGATCGGCTTCCTCCGGAACCGCACATTCCTTTACTCTGTGCTCGGCTCCATCCTGGGCCAGCTGGCCGTCATCTACACGCCGCCACTGCAGAGGGTCTTCCAGACGGAGAGCCTGGGGGCACTCGGTGAGTGGGAGGGCTCACCGGGGGCCGTCCTCACTGCCTGCCCAGGGCGTGGAGTCCCCTCGAGGGGCCATTCTGTCCCCAGGGCACTGGGCTTGTGCCTGAATATGAGCACTGGGCGGGAGGGGGGATGCAGTGCCGGTGTGGAGAAGGCGCGAGACTCAGGGGCTGGAGCCCCTGCTGGGAGTCAGGGGAGTGCAGAGGGGTCGCAACACCCTGGCCACCCCCCTTCCATCCCGGGACAGGAGGCCCCAGGTGGGTGTGGTGAGGCCCCGGGGCAGCTGGATGGACCACGTCCGTGCTGGCTCAGCCTCTGACATGCTGCCTGGGTCTAGGAGTGTGTAAGCCCGCCAGGGGCTGTAACGGGGCCTGTGTGACAGGGACCCTGCTTACCTGGAGACCAGAGTGGGCGGGCCGGCAGTTCCTGCTGAGAAGGCCACACGTAGGGACCACTGCGGCCCTCCGGGTCCCAAGCACACCCGCCCTGGGCGGAGCCCCAGGCTTGCTCCCCAGCGTCCTCCCCAGGCTTCCGGCAGCCCCACCATCTTTCTGTGAAAGCTGTGCCTGAAACACTGACAGGAGGGAACAGAGAGGGAGAAAGTGGCCTGGAGAGAGGCAGTGAGCAGAGCCTGTGCAGGGAGGGCTCCGGGGTGACCACTAGCCCAGCTTTCCACTGGGGACCTCAGATCCCAGTGGGCAAGGGAGCTGGTGAGACTGCCGGCCCTTCCCAGGATCCGAGGACCCCAAAACCATCAGTTGTGTCTGAAGTGGTGGAGACAAGGATGCTAAACACCTAGAGACTCACAGCTTTCTCCCCCAAAAAATAAAAAAAACAGGGTCTCAGACAGCACACAAAAAAAAAAAAAAAAAAAAACAACAATGTTTTTACAGCTGTTTCCATCCACTGGGAATTCCATCAGCTCACCCCGTCTAAAGAAGTGCAAGGTCCGTGCCAGGCACCACAGCTGTCACGAATCCTCGACAACAGGGAGCCAAGGAGAGGCTCGGGGGGTAGTTTAGGGGCCAGGCCACCCGGATGAGTCAGGGTGGGGCTGGTCTGGGAGCCACGGTCGGGGTGTCTGCCCCAGGAAGGCTCTCTTTACAGCCGAAGTTGGCCGGCCTGCTCCCCAGCTCCGTTGTTCAGTTGCTCAGTCATGTCCAACTCTTTGCAACCCTGTGGACTGTAGCCCACCAAGCTCCTCTGTCTGTGGGATTTTTCCAGGCAGGAATATGGCAGTGGGTTGCTATTTCCTTCTCCAGGGGATCTTCCCAGCCCAGGAAGCAAACCCACATCTCCTGCATTGCAGGCAGATTCTTTACCGCTGAGCCACCAGGCAAGTCTGGCTCTGAATTGCCTGCACAGACCAGTAGGTCCTGGTGGAGCTGGCTCTGCAGTGTTCTGCATCCCGGACTGAGGAGATCTCTGCCCGCTCAGGGGGCGTGGACAGTCTGGCCCTCAGCTTCTGGGTCCTGGCCCCTCACCTCTGTCTGCAACTGCCCCAAACGACAGGGGCGGAGGACAGAGCTCTGTGGCCACGCCGAGCACTGTGCCAGTGCTGGGCATCGAGGGGCTAGGGACCAGAGGGTATGCCGTGCACTCTCTGACCTTTTTCTCTTTTTTGTCTGTTGGCAGATTTATTGCTTTTAACCGGATTGGCCTCATCCGTGTTCATTTTGTCAGAGTTCTTCAAACTATGTGAAAAGTTCTGCTGCAAAGCCCAGAAAGCCCAGACCCCCCAGGAAGATGTATAGTGGACCCTGACCCATGGAAAGGTCCCTAAATCTCTATTTTTATGTGACTGTGGCCCTCTGCCTGCCCCGTCCCGTCCGAGAGGTGTCTAAGGACACGACAGCATCGAGTCCGCTCACCTGGCTGTTCCTGGGGGGCCAGTGGGGAGCGCAGGCCCAGCCCTGAGTCCTCGGTCCCTGTGTGCATCCACTGTTCCGTCCTGCCAGGCCCTGGGGTGAACCGTGAGGAGCCTGCCAAGAAACACAGCACTATTTATTAAAGCACAGTGATTTTTATTAACCACGTATGGCTGCGTATTTGTGCCATAGCTGGGTGCCGCACAGCCCCTGGTAGGAGGGGGACACCGAGTCGGGGGCGGGGACGGAGGAGCAGGGGGCAGGATCTGGCCTTCTGGTCACTCTGCCCATCTCATCCACAAAATGGGGGCTTTGGGTATCTTTAAGGGTGATGCCAGGGGGCCCAACGATCATTCTGTTGGCTTTAATCTGGGCTTGCCTACAAGTGGCCAAGTGGGGAACACACAGCCTCGTGTTCGTGACCCGGGAGCACGTGGCGAGATCCAGTCATGGCCTGAGCGGCCTCAGCAAAGAGGACCTAGGCTTCTGAAGCTGAGCAGGGTGTGGCCTCTCCCCTCCCAGAACCAGGACTTCCCACAGCCTGAGCCCCAAGACTGGTTTTGTTGGTGGTGGGTTTTTTTTCCTTTTTTTTTTTTTTTGGCCACACTGTGCGGCACACTGGATCTTAGTTCCCTGAAAGGGATGGAACCCACACCCACTGCAGTGGAAGTGCAGTCCCAACCACTGGACTACCAGGCAAGTCCCTAAGACTGCTCTCAACACACGTCCACCCTTGCAGCTGAAAGATGGCAGAGAGGTCTGCAGCCAGGCAGAACCAACCACGGGGAACCAGAAACGGAGCTCCACCTGCCATGCAATGCGGCCACAGCTATAACCTCCCACTCCCTCAGGGCTTTCCAGAGAAATCACACCATAGAAGGAGAGCAGAGAAAGAGGGAAGGACACTTATGTTAAGTAATTAGCTCACCTCATTGTTGGGGCTGGCGAGACTGACGTCTCCAGGACAGGCCGGAGGCTTGGGCAGGAGTTGGCACTACCCTATCCCTGACCACCAGTCTGGGGGCTAGGATTCCACTCTCTCACTGCCACAACCTGCCCTCCATCGCTGGCTGGGTACCGAAATCCTGCTTCAAGCTGCTGCAGGCTGAGGTCACCTGAGGTCATTTCAAGTCAAGAATGAGAAGGATGCATCATTATTGATAAAATTCAGAAAGAATTTTCTGACAACAAGAGACAAAAAGAAAGGTCTAGAAATCAGAAAGGTAGGGAAATTATCCTTATTTCCAGGTTTCCCATCATACTAGGTGCAATCAACACAGTGTACCCTTTAAACTGGACAACCTTGTGTGTCAATTATATCTCAGTAAAGCTGGAGGGAAAAAAGAGAAGTCACACAGCCAAAACATAATAGAAAGATGCTTTACAGTGCTGGGGGAAAATGTCAACATATCTTTTAAAAAAACAGAGCAAAAACAACCCTTTGAAAATTAAGGCAAAATATTTTTTTCAGACAACAACAACAAAAAAGATCCTAATAGCTGCAGGCCTGCAGAGAATTCATGGATAATCAGAAACAGCGACCAGCAGTGGTTCTCGATGCGAGGTTCCCTACACCAGCCATGGCAGCATCACTTCGGAATTTATTAGTGATGTCAACTCTCAGATCCCTACCCAAAACTACTAAACTAAACTCTGGGGGTGGATTACATTCCCTCTTTTTATTAGCTGCTGCTGCAAAGTCACTTCAGTCGTATCCGACTCTGTACGACCCCATAGACGGCAGCTCACCAGGCTCCCCCGTCCCTGGGATTCTCCAGGCAAGAATACTGGAGTGGCCTCAGTCAAATTTGTTTCTTTGAAGTGGTTTCAATTTCGGTGAGTCCTTCCAACTCGAAATACTTCCAACAATACTTAGAAGGCAAAAGCATCTTTTTGAGAAAAACTGCCTCTTCCAGATCCATGAAACAAAAATAGATTTATGGTGAAAATTGAAAATGAGCACACAACAGAATAGCAAAGTCAGTGGTTTAGTCAGATGGGGTTTTTTGTTGTAGTAATTTTTGATTTCTGATGTGTTTGATGTTTTATTTCTAGTGTGTTTTATAACTACAAAATGGTTGTTACATTTTGTAGTAATTTAAAACCAAAGTTGCTAGCATCATTTTGCTGTTGTACCAGTTAATATTCATGGANCCAGGCTCTTCTGTCCATGGGATTTTCCAGGCAAGAGCACTGGAGTGGGGTGCTATTGCCTTCTCCCTTTTTATTAGAAAAGTATTCAAATATAAATGAAAGTTTTTTCAAAAGAAAGAAGACTAGGAGTATGAACCCTAGATTTCATTCTGATTAACCCTGTGGACAGAGGAGTCCATGGGGTCGCAGAGTCGGACACAACTGAGCGACTAACACACAACACACACACACACACACACACACACACCCCTTAATTAGTTGTGTGATCCTGGCTAAGTCACTTCATTACAGTACCTTAACTCTTAGTGACTTAGAAACTGATAAAATGATAATGATAAAATTTATTGTGTCTGATTGTATGCCTAGAATTATATCAAGTGGTACAAAGAAACAAAGAACTGTATATATCCGACCTGTTCTCCAGGCATCAGGGTTGGGGTGTGGGGGCAGAAGGAAAGGCAATATGGTTTCTGGAGATGCCGACTATTATAGAGAAGATAAACCCCCGATGGCTCGGCGGGTGAAGAATCCGCCTGCGATGCAGGAGACACAGGAAACTCCGGTTCCATCCCTGGGTTGGGAAGATCCCCTGGAGAAAGAAATGGCAACCCATTCCAGTATTCTTGCCTGGGAGAATTCCACGGACAGAGCCTCGCAGGCTACAGTCCAATTGGTCATAAAAGAGTTGGACACAACTGAGTGACTAAGCACACACATAGAGAAGAAAAGTGTCACTTCGTTCCATCATGAAGAAGTAACACATTAAGATCTGGGTATACATTTATATACCTTCCAGACATTTTACTATCTACATAAATATGTCTTTTTTAAAAAACTAAAATTTGGACTATTCTGTAAAAAAAAAAAAAAAAAGGCAGGGGGGACTCTAGGTGATTCTGATGTGGGCTCAAGGTCGAGAACCACTGAATAAAAGAACTCAGCAAGGTAATGGGGTACAAAACTATGTTGAGAGCCTCCCAGAATGCAGTCATTGGTTTGTGGGGGTGGGGGAGAGCCCACTCACAGAGCCAGCAACGACAACAAATTTATGTAGCAAACTTGGATGTTCCTGTTCTTCGAGGAAGCAGCAGCATCAGCCAGTGTCAGTTCTGCCTACGTGCATCAGTATTTAGTGCCATCCTGAAAATACTATCAAAATGGTAGTATTCTGGCTGCGCCTCCTGGCATGTGGGATCTCACTTCCCCGACCAGGGATCAAACCTATGTTCCTGCAGGGGAACCACAGAGTCTTAACCACTAGACGTCCAGGAAAGTCCCCTATCAAACATTTTAGAAGTAGTCAAAGTGCTACCAAAGATCAGACAGAATCAAGCATTTGAAGGGAAAAAAAAAAAAAGTAACAGAAATAGCTCTTATGTCTTTCTATCATAAAACTGAATCACTTCACTGTATGTCTAAAACTAATGTTAACACTAAATCAACTATAGTTCAAAATAAAATTTAAAAAATGTTAAAGAGAATCAAAAATTTGAAAAAAGGAAATACCTTTTTATTTTTTTTTTCCACAGTTGGTAAAAATATTTTTTTTTCCATTTATTTTTATTAGTTGGAGGCTAATTACTTTACATCATTGCAATGGTTTCTGTCATACATTGACATGAATTAGCCATGGATTTACATGTATTCCCCATCCCAGTCCCCCCTCCCACCTCCCTCTCCACCCGATCCCTCTGGGTCACAACCCATTCCAGTATTCTTGCCTGGGAGAATTCCACGGACAGAGCCTCGCAGGCTACAGTCCAATTGGTCATAAAAGAGTTGGACACAACTGAGCGACTAAGCACACACATAGAGAAGAAAACTGTCACTTCGTTCCATCATGAAGAAGTAACACATTAAGATCTGGGTATACATTTATATACCTTCCAGACATTTTACTATCTACGTAAATATGTCTTTTTTAAAAAAACTAAAATTTGGACTATTCTGTAAAAAAAAAAAAAAGGCAGGGGGGACTCTAGGTGATTCTGATGTGGGCTCAAGGTCGAGAACCACTGAATAAAAGAACTCAGGAAGGTAACAGGGTACAAAACTATGTTGAGAGCCTCCCAGAATGCAGTCATTGGTTTGTGGGGGTGGGGGAGAGCCCACTCACAGAGCCAGCAATGACAACAAATTTATGTAGCAAACTTGGATGTTCCTGTTCTTCGAGGAAGCAGCAGCGTCAGCCAGTGTCAGTTCTGCCTATGTGCATCAGTATTTAGTGCCATCCTGAAAATACTATCAAAATGGTAGTATTCTGGCTGCGCCTCCTGGCATGTGGGATCTTACTTCCCCGACCAGGGATCAAACCTATGTTCCTGCAGGGGAACCACGGAGTCTTAACCACTAGACATCCAGGAAAGTCCCCTATCAAACATTTTAGAAGTAGTCAAAGTGCTACCAAAGATCAGACAGAATCAAGCATTTGAAGGGAAAAAAAAAAAAGGTAGTAACAGAAATAGCTCTTATGTCTTTCTATCATAAAACTGAATCACTTCGCTGTATGTCTAAAACTAATGTAACACTAAATCAACTATAGTTCAATATAAAATTTAAAAAATGTTAAAGAGAATCCAAAATTTGAAAAAAGGAAACACCTTTTTAAATGGAGCAAAGATTTAGGAGGACTAGAAAGCACAGCAGAAAAAAATGGTTTTTGAGTAGCAGGTACACAAAAACTAAATTTTAATACAGTTGTTGGTGACAACATGGCCAATGGGCACTCCAGGTCTCAAAAGTATAAACTGAGCTTGAAAGAGGTGTGTTAGTTTGTTAATATCTAAATAAAAAAGCATGTACCTTTTGATCCAGTAACTTGGCTTCTAAAGGTGCATCCTCTAGACGGAACCAGAGAAAGATGAGCATAAATGATGTTGACTCCAGCGGTGAATAGTTACAGACAGACCGTTCCCCAGCCGGGGATAGTTGAACCCCAGAAAGAATGGGGCATCCATCTCACGGGACGTCACACAGTCAGGGAGAACAAAGGGGTAGATACAGAGCTATTTCTACCCAAAAAAAGATAAGGGACAGACCAGGGTGTGTAACACTTTACCTCTAGAGAAGAAAAGGCTGGAGGGGCACAGGAGTTAGACTTAGCTTTCAAGTTACACCCTTTTGTATTTTGACCTTTTTTTGCCATGTATGCATAAGCTAATCTTTTAATTAAAAAATATAGTGGGTCCATCAACAGATGAATGGATAAAGAAATGTGATGTGATGTGATGTGATGTGTGTGTGTGTGTGTGTGTGTGTGTGTGTATAATGGAATACTACTCAGCCATAAAAAAAACCATGAAGTTCTGCCATTTGCAGCACCATGGATGGACTTACAGGGCATTGTGCTGAGTGAAGTCAGAGAAAGATAAACATGGTCTGGTATCACTTATACATGAAATTTAAGAAGTAAACTACTGAATCAAACAAAAAAGCAGCAGACTCACAAATACAGAGAAAAAACTAGGGGTTACCAGTGGAGAGGGGCGATGGAGGGGGGTGGGGGAAAATTATGGGTTACAAAATCACGTGTGAGAGATTTTTGAAAATTGTAAAGCAGTAGAGAATTTAAAGAAACCTTCCTTCAACAGAAAGAAAAAAATTTCCAAAAAATAACTGTGGTGGGAAAAAAGTTAACAACAGCCATGCTTTGAAAAGTTGTTTTTAAGATATCTGAGGATCGCAACGTCCTGTGTCTGCCTCCCATCAGTTAGGCAGCCACAGAAGCACCTGAGAAGCTATTAAAACTGGCCCTTTTATAAGGAAAGTCAGTCAAGATGGAGTGTGCGTGTCACCGTTGTGAGTGTGCATTTCCTTGTGAAGGCCCGTTTGCAAGGCCTGCTCGGGGCTCAGCAGCAGGTCTCATGAGCCTCCTGTAGAAAACGCAGAGCCCGCAAGTGCACACAGCTCAGTCACTATGGCTTAAAATCGGGGCAGACTCGAGAATAAGGCAGCATTTATTGTCAGATCTGCAGCAGGACAGTGTGGAGCAGGGAGAACAGGGGCAGGAGTCTTAGGGCCAGGCCTGCAACAGCCCTGAGCTCGATGCTCAGCATGTCAGGAGGTTCTCTGGGCCACCCCCGAGGGACGGGGCTGGACTGGACAGGGCCCAGCCCACCCACATCTCCGCTAGCACGGCCAAGATACACACCATCCCCGGGGCGGGTAGCACAAGGTGATGCTGGGAGGCCAGGAGCCCAGGCCGGTCCTGTCAAGGCACTCGCCCCCAGCTCCTGCGACAGGCCTGTATCAGCAGGACTCTTAGCCCTGAGTGTCCCCGCGTCTACATCAGAAACAGGACCGCCACTCTGCTTCTCTGCTCACCTCCTGGTTTCCCATGTGCTCTAGAGCACAGACCCACTTAGAACAGCTGACAAAGGCCGACATCCAACCTCACTGAAGACCCAGGTCACTGTCACCTTCAAAATCTCCAGCTATACACTGTTAGTACACTGCTAACGCTTTTTTTTTTTTTTAAGAAATACAGAAATTCCATATCAGAGGAAGCTACTCCCCAAAGCACGGGGATTCCCTTGACCAGAAGAAACGGTGCCTCAAGGCTCTTAACTGGGGGGCCTGAGCAGAGGCCCAGTGACCCCCAGTGAGTGGAAACACGCCCCTCCCACCACCACTACAAGAACTCCAGTCCCCAAAGATGCCAGTTCTGGCCAGTCTCAACAGCTCAGCGTCCTCTTTGGATTTCATCCCTAGGGAATGAGCCAAGTCTAAGGATCAGGTTGCTAGCTGTATGCTCGGGATTCCGGGGGGAGACACCCCTTCCGATGGACATATGGCAACAGAGGAACTGTACTCTGTGCGGACTGGGCACCGCCAGGACATGAACCGCACGCTCTGGACCAAAGTCAGGCCTCCGCGGGATGTAGGGAGGTGGGCAGGCTGCGCTCCGGCTCCAGGGTGGCCCGCGTCGGCACACCAGCCCGTCCTCAGTGCTCATCAGGGACCTCCCGGAGCCCTTCGCTGTGGCAGCCCCGCCCACTGACTTTCAGCAGGGCCCGGGCCTCGGGGTCGACGTCCAGAATGCTCCTAGTTTTCCTGGCCTTGGGAAGAAGGAAGGAGGGGTGTGTTCAGTGACCAAAACCAGCCGGTGGTGTCCTGCCGCTGGCACGTTTCTCAGAGCGGACTTGGGGCCCTACTGATGCCACAAGGGAAATGTGGGGGGTGGGGGCTCTGGCCCTGCCCCCACTGTGTCCCCCACACCCTGGGAGGCCATCGCTGGGGGGTGATGCGGTGCAAGGAGGCCAACAACTCATTGTTGAACCCTGGATCCCGAAGGGACCCCAGACCCTCCTCAGCTTGCAAAGGAGCCCCCATCCATCTGGGACCCCACCTTCCTGGGGTGGTTCTTTTAGGAGACCCCCCACAGATCCCAAACAGGACTCCCTGCCCGGCTGTGCACCCATGGGCATTCCTCTGGCCAGCGACAGCTGCTGGAAACAAGTCTGGGGAAAACCATCTCCAGGTGGAGGTGTGAAAGGTGCGCAACGGATCAAGCTGAGAGGGGAGAAGCACCCCCACGCTCACCGGCTCTGCCTTCGGGGCATCTCCCACCGCCCACACCTCCAACTTCTGGAACTGGAAGTCCTCCTGGGCCGACAGCTGAGGGCTGCCGTAGGTGGTGCACATGGGCTTGGCCTTGCTGTGTCCTTTCCCGAAATCGACATCGATCCACAGCCCAAAGTAACCGTGCTGTCCTCCCATGCCCTGCGGAGGGAGGCACGTCACACCCCAAAGCCCACCCCAGCCCTCAGGCCACAAGGGCGTGCGGGAAGCGAATGCCACTTTCTTCTTTTTTTAAAAAACTGTGAAATAATATAGATTGGTACAACTGAAGGATCCCACTGCAGGTGGGACACTGCATCCAGGTGTTCTGAGTCCCACCCAGTGGCTCTTTCTCACGGGGCGGCACTGGCAGGAAACACAAGTCAGGACCTCCCTGGTGGTCCAGAGGCTAAGGCTCCACGCTCCCAGTGCGAGGTGGGGGGCGGGCCCCGTCCCTGGTCAGGGAGCTANTGAAATAATATAGATTGGTACAACTGAAGGATCCCACTGCAGGTGGGACACTGCATCCAGGTGTTCTGAGTCCCACCCAGTGGCTCTTTCTCACGGGGCGGCACTGGCAGGAAACACAAGTCAGGACCTCCCTGGTGGTCCAGAGGCTAAGGCTCCACACTCCCAGTGCGGGGTGGGGGGCGGGCCCCATCCCTGGTCAGGGAGCTAAATCCCACACGCCTCGCTCAGTTCGCATGCCGCAAGACCCAGCGCAGCCAAACAAATAAAATATCTTAAAAGGAAACGCAAGTGACAACTGAGAACAGAAGAATCCAGACGATCAGACCCAGAGACCGCAGTCTGTAAAACGAGGGCAGAGGTCCTCCCAGCGCTCGAGGCTGGGAAACCTGTGTCCAGGCCCCAGGCCCCAGGCCCCTGTGCTGGAGCAGACGTGTCACTCACTTGGGGCGGTGACGGCAGGGGGCAGGGGGGCAAAGGAGGAAGCTTTCCGGCTCTAGGTGAGTGGCCGGCGGGAACAGAACTGCTGTTCAACCTCTCTGGTCCCCTTCTCCGGGGGCCGCCTCCACCCTGGGGGCCGGAGTTAACACTGAGCAAGAGACCAGCGCGGACCAGGGCTGCCTCTCCCCGCCGGCCGGCTACTGACCCGCTGAGGCCGAGACCCTTGCCCCTGTCGACACCAAACTGCCCTTTCAGAAGGCGTCTCAGGCCATCGGGGGGCCCAAGGGAGCCCCAGAGAGAACCAGGGAGGAGCTCGGGGCCTGCTCCACACTGATGAGGTTGACCCACCTTCCCCGCCCCTCGGTGCTGCAGACTCGGGACTGGGAATTTCCCGAGATGCTTTTCGTTAAGCAGCAGGGAAGAGAAGTAGGCTGGTGCAGCTAGGAGACACCTCTCGCACCCAAGCTAAGCATCTGTGCGGGTGCCCATCCCAGCTCCTCGCCTAGTCCTGTCCCCACGTCCCTCACCGTTACCTGTGGCCTTCACCCCTGCCCGCTTCTTCCTGTGGCTGAGTCCAGCCTGACTGGTCCAGAGAGCCCAGCCCTGCCCCCAGCACGAGTGCCAGGGCAGCGTCTCCAGTCACAAAGGCCACGGACCGACCACCTGATGACCGGGAGCCTGGTGGAACCCGTCATTCGCACACAAAGCCCAAAAATGCTCCAACAGAGGCCCTGTTTTTTCCGAGGGAGAAGTTTGGTCATGGCTGTTACTCCTGGCATCACCACCCCGAGATCCAGGCAGGATGTACTGGACACCACACGCTGCCCGACGAGGGGGCAAGTGCCCCGGGGCACGTCGGGGCTGGGGCTGTCACCGAGGGATGGACGGCACCACGGACCCCGTGCCCAGCCACCCCCAACCCTGGTCCTTACCAGGCCGTTGGGGATAGTCTGCCGCCCTTGATTCAGGTACATGTAGTGGTCGTTGTAGCCGGTGCAGGTGTACACGGCCATGCTGGGGGAGACGGAGAACAAGAAGCACCTGCTGTCCCCTGAAAGTGAGCAGAGTGCAAAGAAGACGGATCACCCACCGCAGCCGAGCACACGGAGGAGCAGGAAACGCAAACAGGCCCACTCAGACCAAGAGCTGGAGGAGCTTCTTGGGGTCCTCGGTGTGTGGGGCAGGGGCGGGGGGGCTCCCACGTGTGGGAGCGGAGCCCTCAGACCAGTGGGCAGATCCCAGACCCACGGCTTCCCGGGGCCCATAGGATGAGCTGTGGCTGGGAGGTGAGGGTGACCGCCAGAAAGGAACGTGGCGTCTGCCTGCTGGGGATGCTGCCCCGCCACCCAGAGTCAGAAAGGGCAGCCTTGTCTCCGCGTGGGAGCAAAGGGCAGGCGGTCACTGCAGACCCCGGCTGAGCGCCCGCACGGCCTCAGACACGTCACCCAGGGGACGGAAGACGCCTGCAGACACAGCTGGCTGGGAAGGGGGGGGCGCACCCTGGGAGAGGTGAGCCTGCACCTTCACCTGGGCACAGGCGTGGGCACGCTCCACTCAGCGGAGGTGCGATCAGAGCTCCAGAAATGAGGAGCCCTCCACCTCAGACTCCTTCCCCACCCTCATGCACTCACTGCAGGGTGGAGACGGAGGGCACACGCACCCCGCCCGGGGACCTCCCAGCCAGGTGGGAGCCAGGGCCGTGCCCCACAGCCATGGGATCTTCGCCGCCCTCCGCGGGGACAGTGTGAGGGCACCTGACACTGGACCCATCTCAGGCACTGGGGGAGGAAGCCCCAGGAAGCAGGCGGGCGGCCCCAGTACGGAGGATGACACAAAGTGGGCTCTGAGCCCCAGGAGGCCTTACGGAGGACGGCCCTGGGCGGCAGGCCGGCCTGGACAGGCAGAGTCAGGACCCGCGATGCCCAGGCCTCCCCTCCAGATGGACCTGGGGGCCTCCGCAGGGACTCAGCTCCTCTGAAGCCAGGAAGATGGAGACGGCCGGGTGAGGGCCCCTCCACGGAGGAGGGACCCCCGAGGGGACGAGGAGGGCACGAGAGAACAGCAGGACCCCTCGGCCGTAGAGCCAGGGGAGTCGGGGAGGAAGGGAAGTGAGCCTGGGGAGGCCACAGGGACTGGGACACAGGACTGCCCTCCAGGCTAAAGACTCAGGCTTGAGTCCATGAGCCCCAGAAGGGCGGGTCTCGCCTCCAGTAACGTCCTGGTCCCACCCAGCCCCGGGACCGTCACTTCACCTGCCAGTCCTAAGGCTGCCTGTCGGCCAGTGTTTCCTGGCTCCTGGGTGCTGAGTGAGGTGTCCGGGCCACAGAGCATGGACCTCACGCTAGTCCATCCTGGGATCCATGCCCAGAGGGACGGGCCACCTGGGGAAGACGACCCTCCACTCCAGGGCGCAGGGCAAGCACCGAGGAGTCACATGACCTGCAAAGGCATCAGTCCCACGGGGGGCGGGGGCTCCTCGCCCGACTCTCACCACCATACCACCCCCCATCACCCCAGGGTTTATAGGCTACCATCCCCATGGTTCTGGGAACCCCAGGCTCAGAGAGGGTAAAGCACCCCGCCCAGGACAGAGCCAGACTCCACCCAGTGCTGTGGGCCTTTGGCTGCCCCTCGGCTGGCAGAAGCGGAAATGAAGTGACCCTGTGGGTGTCACGTCTCTCCAAGGCACAAATACTCGAGGTGACTGGGGGACCAATAGATGAGAAACTCCCAGGACGTGAAAGGCATCTGCGAGGCTGGGCTGCCCCCTGCTGGAATCCTGGCCTCACACTTCACGACAGAAAGAGCTCCCCTCTGAAAACCTGGTAACTGCATTTTCCCATGGTTCTTGAATGAATGCTGCTCTCGTAAATGTAAGCTGGAGACGCAGCGGAGCTGACCTTTGGGTTAATACGAGAGGAGCTGGAAGAAGTGCAAGTTTCATCGAGATAATAATGACTCTCGGGGCTGTTCTTCCACGTCCTTGAGCAGAGCCTCCAATCACACAGAGACCCAGCTCATCACCCCCAGGGCCCCCTCCCCGTGATGCTGTGACAAGGTGGGCAAGCAGCTCTCTGTCCTAAACCGTGTGTACAGACAGAGGAGCCAGAGCTGGGCTCCTGCGGTCCTCCTCCACGTTTGGGGCATGGGTGGTTGTTGGCAGAGGGTGCTGGTATGGCTGGCTCCCCAGTAAAAAAAAAACAAACCCTGGGCACTGATGCTCTAACACAGCCCTGCTGGACAGCACTGCACCATTTAATGATGCTGAGCCACTGTCTCCTCACCTGAAATCCAGGGGTGAGGACACCTGTCCAGCTTACCTGACCCAGCAGCCAGAGTCTGTACAGAAATCCGTGAAGTTATACCTCCATAAACACCATGCTTCCCCATCCTCCCAAACACGTCTAGAAAAAAATGCTTGGGGGAGGAGATGGAACAAACAGCGCACACGCTCTGGCGGGCTCAGAGGTCTCCATGTGGCGGCCGAGGGACCAGAACTTGCCAGGGGCGCTGCGCTACCACGTGGGGCTCGGGCGGCCAAGTCTCACCTTGAAACTGAGGCTTGGCTTCCCAGGAACAGGAGGCAAAGCCCCCAAACACGTGGCCATCACGGTCCTTGAGCAACACCAGGCAGGGCCCCCTGTGTGTGATGTGCCCACAGAGCTGGGCGAAGCTGTTCCCGTGGAGCTCAGTTGCGAAGAGCAGGCGCCAGCGGAGCCGCCGCTCCTGGGGCAGGTGTGAGTTGATGTAGATGACGGACAGGACGTCCAGAAGGCTGGCAAACTCCCGCTGCGGGTCCACCTGGCGCTCGGGGACCAGGGTGGCCAGCTCGAGGGTCGAGCACAGGAGGAGGAAGCCCTGGTGGATGACCAGGCTCAGAAACGTGGCCACGTGGTGGGCCCGGAACACCCAGTCCTCGAGCACGGCCTCGTCACAGTCACAGTCCAGCCACTGAGGCCCCAGAAGCTTCCCGCCACCTAGGGGAGGAGAAAACAGCGCTGGGGGGTGGAGGGGGGGCAATGACATCATCTCTGCTTTCCTGAATCTGCTCTGTCCAACAGGGGAGCCACACGTGCAGTTCATCTGCATCGAGATGCGTGGTGAGTGTAAAATGCACACCCGTTTCAAAGACTTGGTGTGAAAAAAGAGTGTAAAATAACTCATTTTTTTTTAACATCGCCAAGGTTAAAGTATATTTTGGAAATTTTCTTAAAATTAATCTCACTTGTTTCTTTTTGCTATTTTCACGTGTTACTAGAATATTTAAAATTTCACATGTGGTTTGCTTTGCAGTTCACATCCTACCCCTGTTGGATGTGCTCATCTAAACAACTCGACATAATGCTCTTATCTTTTCTCTGCAGTCCCAGCTGTATTTCAGAGGCCCAGAAGACAGTTATACCCCCACCTGGGTCCCTGAAACTCCCAAGCACCCCTTCCTTAGAGGGCTGGCTACACTAACTTTGACTTTGACTGTGTCGCTCAGTCATGCCCGACTCTTTGCAACCCCATGGACTGTAGCCCACCAGGCTCCTCAGTCCCTGGAAATTTCCCGGCAAGAGTACTGCAGTGGGTTGTCATTTCCTTCTCCAGGGGATCTTCCCAACCCAGGGATGGAACCCTGGTCACCTTCATTGGCAGATAGGTTCTTTACTGACTGAGCTACCTGGGAAGCCCTACATCAGGGTAGTGGTTGGTAATTTCCTGGGCACCCCTCAATTTATCTGGGGAGAACAGGTTTCATTAACTACAAATTATGCTTCATTGTTTCCGACCAACACCTATGGTTCTGATTTCTGTCTCTTACCTACCAGGAACAGAGGTGATGTGGCAATGGCACCAGAAGACAAACTATTGGGACTTCACACATATATTACTGTGTTATATATTAACAGTATATTATGTTATTATTCTTTCCAAGTTCCAACGACCTGTGTTTAGAAATCCAGCTTTATAATAAATCAGTAACGCTTTTATAAAATAAGTCAACTTTGTTTTATACATTGACAAATCTACAAGATTCACCTCAAGGTATTTTTAAATTCCAAGTAGATTGAAATAAGTACTGTTTCTCTGCCAACAACAGCAGAACACATTCTTCTCAAGCAGGTCCAGAATATTCCTCAGAGCAGACCATATGTTAGGCCATAAAGCATGCCTTGATAAACTGAGAAGAGATGAAGTCATGTAATGTATGTTCTTCAATCACAATGTAATAAAATTACAAATCAGAAGGCAATTTGGGAAATTCACAAATACATAGAAATTAAAGAGTATACCTCTGCACAACCAATAGGCCAAAGAAGAAATCACGAGGGGAGTCAGAAAACACTGAGCTGAATGAAAACAGAAACACAACATACCAAATGCGATTCAGCTAAAGCAGTGCTCAGAGGGAAATGTATAGCCATAAATGCCTATATGAAAAAGAAGAGAGACCTCAAATCAACAGCCTAACCTTCTACCTTGAGAAACTAGACAAAGAAAACCAAACTAGACATCAGAATCAAGCTGCCAGAGTAACAGGACATGGAACTCACCTCTTCCCACAAATACATCAACAGTACATCTACAAGACTTCCCTGGTGGTCGGGTGGTTAAGAATCCGCCTGCCAATGCAGGAGACATGGGTATGATTCCTGGTCTAGGAAGATCCTACATGACCCAGAGCAACGAAGCCCACACACCACAGCCCGCATGTGCTCTAGGGCCCGCATGACACAACTACTGAGCTCGAGGGCCAAACTACTGAAGCCCGCATGCCTACAGCCCACACTCTGCAAGGAGAAACCAACACAATGAGAAGCCCACACGCCACAACTAGAGAGCAGCCCCACTCACATTTAGAGAAAGCCTGCGCACTGCAACAGAGACCCAGTGCAGCCAGAATTAAGTAATTAAAACAAGAATATATCTGCTGGCCGTCATCAAAAAAACCTACAAAACATAAATGCATGAGAGGGTGTGGAGGTAAGGGAACCCTCCTACCCTGTTGATGAGAATGTAAACTGGTTTACAGACACGACAGAGAACAATATGGAGGTTCCTCAGAAAACTAAAAACAGAGCTACCACATGATCCAGTAATCCCACACCTGGGCACACACCCAGACAAAACTGTAATTCAAAAAGATCCATGAACCCCAAGGTTCATAGCAGCACAACAGCCAAGACATGGAACCAACCTAAATGTCCACTGACAGAGGAATGGATAAATAAGATATGGTACATATGTACGATAGAATATTACTCAGCCATAAAAAAGAACAAAGAAATGCCATTTGCAGTAACATGGATGGACCCAGAGATGCTCATACTAAGTGAAGGAAGTCAGAAAGAGAAAGTATGATATTACTTATATGTGCAATCTGAAATACGACACAAACCAACACATCTGTGAAACAAAAACAGACTCACACACACAGCGAACAGATATGTGGTTGCCGATGGGGAGGAGTATGGGGGAAGGACAGATTGGGAGGTTGGGGTTGTGCATGCATGCATGCGCACTCGATCATGTTCGACACTTTGCAACTCCATGGACTATAACCCACAAGGCTCCTCTGTCCATGGGATTTCCCAGGCAAGAGTACTGGAGCAGGTTGCCATTTCCAATTCCAGGGGATCTTCCCAACCGCATCTCGTGTCTCCTGCATTAGCAGGTGGGTTCTTTATTACTGAGCCATCTGGAAGCCTGAGGTCGGGGTTAGCAGATGCAGACTATTATATATGGAATGGGATAAGCAATAATGTCCCACTGTAGAGTGCAAAGAACTATATTCAATATCCTATTACAAATTATAATGGAAAAGAATATATTTAAGTCTAAATGAGTCACTGCGTTTTACAGCAGAAATCAACACAACACAATCCACAGTACTTCCATTTTTTTTTTTTAAAAAGGCGGGGTACCAAACTAAATCTAAAGGAATCTAAAGGAAGCAGAAGAAAGGAAATAAAAGACTTGAAGATAAATGAAATAGAGGTTAGACAACAGAGAAAGTCCACAAAATCAAAAGCTGGCTCTTCGAAAATAACAAGAAGTGAACAAACCTTTTGCTAGACTGACCCAGAAAAAAAGAGAAGGCTCAAATGACTAGCATCAGAAATGAAGGTGGAGACGTCACTACGGACCTGGCGGAAATAAAGATTATGAGGAAATATTACAAACAACTGTGTGCCAAGGAAGAGATAATCTCAACGGTCCTCCGAATTTGAAAGATACACACTTGCTGATTTCAAACTTTAATACAAAATGGTGTGGAACCACTCTCCGACACCAAGGTCTAGGGACTAGGGCGGGGCACTTGCCTTGAAGCTTCATCTCGGAGCACAGCTGGGCGGCCAGCACCTGCACCCTGGACGGGGAGCCTGGGGGTGGCTTCTGACTCCAGCCTCGCAGCTGCTGTCTGTAGTTTAGCACGTGCACCACAGAGCCAATCAGGTCCTCTGTAAACTTGGAAGATCACAATTTCACCGTTAATCGCACCACCGTTGTACCTCTGACCCACATCAGATCAACATGGAGAAGGGTGTCTTGTCTCACTAAGGCCAACGTGGAGGACCCCAGGGTGGGAAGAACCACGTGATTTGGGTAGTTATTCAGTTTTCCAACGATGCCCTTGGCTGGTCTAGTTGGCTGATGCCTCTTTGTCCAGGAGTTCTGACCTCAACCGGTTATGTGGTCCAGGATCCCCCCAGGGTGGACCTCTGCACAAGGTCTCCATCAGCTGCTGCATCATCCTGAGCCCCCCAGCAAGGCACACCAACACTGCCTGGAGTGGCTGCAAAGCACCTGCTGGCCTCTCACCTTGTAGACATCTCTTGCTTTCACAGGACCTCCTGAGGCAGAAATCATGTTCAGGATCATGAGACTCTTCTCCTCGGCAGTTCCTTTCAACAGGTGGGACATGGACACTGTGAACTGCTTCTGGGAGATGTGCTCGCTGGGCCCCTTCGCCTTCCTGCTGCCGTCCACCCTCTGCATGCCCTCGAACAGTCTGGTGACCATCTCTGGGGGAAGAGCGTCCCCCACATGGCCCTGAGGGGACAAGCGGGTGAAAAGCCCAGACAGGGTGCAAGTCAGACGCTGTAGGATGACGGGAAAACAGGTAAGGGACCAAGACCAACCGCTGCTACCAGCAAAGAACCTTCCCAGGCCCCCAGTGCACCATCTCTGCCCACTAAGGGCATCACACCACCCCAGGACCCACAGACCTGATGTGTCCGGCCCCTGGCTCATCTTGGCCATCAAACTCTTCTGTCATCGGTTCCCATACCGCCCTCCAGACTTCCCAGTCTCCCCAGACTGGCCATGTCCTTCCTGCCTCTGGCCATCGGCTGCTTTTCACTCTGCTAGTGTCTTCTCCATTCTAGTTTGAGCAGCTGTCATGTGCATGTCTGAATGTATCTCCTTATGGAACACACGGTCTGTGTAGTGCTACACTGATCTCCTCTGTATCAGGGATTCCCAGATATATTAACTATCTATCCAACTTCTTTGTGCTCAATATGCGTTGGAAACTGGGAGATTGGGATTGACATATACCCACTACTATATATAAAATCAGCCTTCCCTGGCGGCTCAGACAGTAAAGAATCCATCTGCAATGCAGGAGACCTGTGTTCGATCCCTGGGTTGGAAGATCCCCTGGAGAAGGGAATGGCTACCCACTCCAGTATTCTTGCCTGGAGAATTCCATGGACAGAGGAGCCTGGTGGGTTACAGCCCATGGGGTCTCAGTGAGTCAGACACGACTGAGCGACTAACACACACACGCATATAAAACAGGTAACTAACAAGGAGCCGCTGCATAGAACAGGGAGCTCTACTCAATCCTCTGAATGACTTCTATGAGGAAAGGATCTAAAAAGGAGTGGGTGCATGTATTTGTATAACTGACTCACTTTGTTGTTCACCTAAAACTAACACAAGATTGTAAAGTCCCCAGAGGGGCCAAAGATGTCTGTGATGTCGCCGCACTCTGAGCACCTGAATGTACGCGGTTAAGAGCCCCAAGGAACGGAGCCAAAAGATGGGGAAGCGGGCAGTCCTCACTCCTTGTCAGGAGCACCCTGACCCTGAAACTTCGTTATTTTGTTGGGGAAACAACAAAATTCCTAGGACATCAAACACTTACGAATCCTGAAGGCCAAGGTGGACTTGAAACTTGGCAGTTATCAGACCCACAAGGACAGGTTGGGCAGCCCATCACCCCTTGCGGGGAGAAATCAGGGTATGGTGGTACAAGAGACGGGAAGCAGTCAGCCCCTCTGGTCAACCTCAAGTGGGAAAAGTCCCCGAACAGTGTGAAGGCAAAGCGGAGCAGCTGCCACACTAGCCACAGAGCCCACAAGGCTAAAAGTAGGTACTATCTGTTCCTTCACAGAAAACACATCTCTCCATGTTCCCACACGTGCCTTACAGGAACCAAGGGTCAGCAACAGCCTGACCCCTGCTCCAAACTAAACATGAACTCCCGACTGTTACCCTTGCCTTCAGTGCCTGCAGAGAGAAGGATCTGTGAGAGGTACTTGAGCCAAGATTCTCCGACGACAGAGCATCGAACAGCCTGTTGACCTCAGCCTGCTCCCCGGGGAGAAACCGCGAGGAGAACTCCTGTCCGGGGTGACTCTTGCTGTTCCCCATCTGTCCCTGTGGCTGGCGGGACTCTGCAGGAGAGAAATTCACACCCAGTTAGAGAGAGAAATCAAATATGTATAGGTGGCTCTGTCGGTAAAGAGTCCGCCTGCAGTGCAGGAGACCCAGGTTCGATCTCTGAATCAGAAAGGTCCCTGGAAAAGGAAATGGCAACCCACTCCAGTATCCTTACCTGGCGAATCCTACGGACAGGAGGAGCCTGGTGGGCTACAGTCCATGGGGTTGCAAGAGTCGGACATGACTTAGCGACTAAACCACATATATATTTTAACTATTTTCTCTTTTATCTTATTTTATTGCCGCATGCCATGTGGGATCTTAGTTCCCTCACCAGGGATTGAACCCATGCCCTCTGCATTGAAAGTGTGGCATCTTAACCACTGGGCCACCAGGGAAGCCCCAAAATATGTCAAGCATAGAAAATAAATGTCAGTAATTATATGGTCAAGGTAAGCAACACTGATCTACTTGCAAAATGCAGCAAAAATGCAGACCTATGTAGTGTTTCAATGTGGTAGAAATTATTATTATTATTATTATTTTAGTTGCTCAGTCATGTCTGACTTTGTGACCCCATGGACTGTAGCTCACCAGGCTCCTCTGTCCATGGGGATTCTCCAGGCAAGAATACTGGAGTGGGATGCCACTTCCTTCTCCAGGGGACAAATTAGTTGACACAAATAAAATGCAAAAACTCAATCAGATTCCTCTGACTTCTCAGACTTCATAACTGCCAATCAACTGTCTGGATTTCTTTGTTCCAAAATGCTTTCTAAGCTAATGTAACTAAAAGGTAGAAAAATCAGGATTTTAATCTAAATATTCATTTTTTTAAAAAACCTGAGTTGAAAAAATAATCTGTAAGGGTAGATGATTACACGTATTTAAATAAAATCAACACCTTGCACATATCACCTACAGAGCAGAAGTGCCGTGGGACACGTTCTTCCTTTGTGATCCAGGCTTCTCGTGGCAGCTGGGCAGCCTCAGGCAAGTGACCGAAACTCTCTGCGCCCCAGGTTTCTCATTTGTAAAGTGGGAATAATCACAGCCCAACCTCAGATGGATAGGATCTTGGCGCACACTGGCCAAAGCTGTGAGAACCCAGCCCAGGCCTCATCTCTGGGAGGGATACTAAGAGAAGCTGGCACCCAAAAGCAGCTGGCCCAGGGGCTGCATTCGGGTCCCAGACCTCATCACAGAAAGGGGTCCAGCACCATCCGATCCAGCACCATCCGATCCACAGATTCATACAGAAAAGCACATCCGAGATGAAACAGCCACGTAGGAGGCAGAGTGCCACAACTTCCTAACTCCTGTCTTTAGACTTCATCTGGGTCCCACCATGGTCAACCTGCTGGGGAGAGGGGCACCCCCCCACACACCCAAAGCAACAGCCCACAGGCTCCCCACAGATCACATGGAGGGGGCAGGCTGTCCACAATCCAGGTGGAGCATGGATCACAGACCTCAAGAGGAAGCAGGGTAACGTGGGGCCTTTATTCTTACTGAAGTGAGATTCACATAACACCACAAAATGACCCATTTCAAAGCGAGCGATTCAGTGGCATTTGGTACATGCACAATGTGGTGAGACCACCACCTCCATCTAGACCCAGAACATTTCCATGACCCAAAAAGAAACTCCACACCCATTAGTGGTCACACCCCATTCCGGGCTCCCCAGGCCCTGGCAACCACTAACACACTGTCCCTGTGGATTTGCCTGTTCTGGACACCTCGTGTAAATGAAATCATCCAACACGTGGTCTTTGGGGTTTGGCTTTCTCCACTCAGCATAACATTTTAAGCATTCATCCATATTGTAGCATGATTAGGACTCCATTCTTCTTGGGTGAGTAATATTCCAGGGTGTGAAGATACTGTGTTTGGCTTATCCATTCAGCTGTTGATGGACATTTGAGCTATTTTATATCTTGAGGGTGCTGTGAACATATGTGTACATGTACTTGTTCGAGTTCCTATTTTCAAATTGGGAGGGGGATGGATATACCTAGGAATGGAATTGTGGGATCGTGTAATCTAATGTCTGTTTTTTGAGGAATTACCAAACTGTTTTCCGTTTTATATTCCCAGCAGCAAAGCATGAGGGTTCCCATTTCTCCAAATGCTCTCCAACATTCTTGTTTTTTTTCCGTCTTTTTAATCCCACCGTTGTGGGGCAAGGGGGGGGCATCTGCCCTGAAGAGGACGCCTCCAGCACAGGGCTCCTAGGAGGGGCTCCAGCACACTCCCAAAGGCTGCTCGAAACGGGGGCTTATGCAGCCCAGTTTGGAACTGTCACTCACGGGCCATTTGATCTAAATGCTTCCATTTCTCAGCTTTCTCAGCAGCTTAAGAGACGAGAAGGAAAGCTTCCAGCCCCCAGCTTGGATTCCAGTCTGCGAGAGGCTTCCTTGTCTCTGAGATACAGGGGGCGGCACCCGCTGGTGCCTGGTCCCCTTCAGGGGGCACAACCCAAGCGGCCTTGCCAAGGCAGACCCGTCCCCTTTGTCAACTCTTCTAAGAGCCCAAGAAACCATCTGATCAGTAGGACATGCTGAGGAGATGAGCCATCTGCACTGTTCTGACTGGGAAGGGGGCTGCGGGTTATTTTGGGACCCCGCATGGTGACCTGATCTGCCTGTGGTTTTGCTTCTGCTTGTTGCTACCCCCACTTTGCTTACATTACTGGTAAATCACAACAGCTTTAGTCAAAAATATTTTCAGATTCATACCCTCCCCAAGCAGGGCAATTCAAGATTTCTCTAAAGATCTCTGCTAATTTATCAAATCACCGAAAACTTATCCCTCAACCTTTTCTGCATCCCTATCTTGTTATCCTGCTGAAATCCTGAAAATGCAAGTGTATAAAAATACACCCTAGGAATTCCAGTTTGTTCTCAGGGTCTTCATACCAAAGGTCATCACAACTTTTCACATCCTCTAGAAAACTTTAAAGTTTGTGACACTAGAAGGCCCATGACTCACCTAAACGCTGGGAGAGATGACTGCCTTCTGAACACCTGGGGGGTTTTTGAGATGTTAACACAGCTCGTGTCAGAGCTGGACCCTCCGGGCCGGCTGACAGCCGTGCCCACCCCGGTAGGCTTCCAAGGCCGACCTGGCAGATGCGTGTGGTCCACTTGGAACGTCAGATGCCAGTCCCCGTGAGCAGTTCCCTTGGGCCCCCCATCTGGCTCGGAGGGCCCTCCTGTCCACCTCTGCACACCTCATCAGCTACTCAGCCTCGGGTTCCAAGACTACCCAGCGCTCCTGACTTTCAGAGAACTGACTGTTGCCCTGAGGGACACAGACCCCTCCTTGCTCACTCTGTTTGGACCCCACCTCCACCTCCCACCCACCCCCAGGTTCATGCCTGACTCACACACCCGTAGAATCTGAAAATCATAAAGGAGACTCTGCCCCACGGCCACCTGGTGGCCGGCACCTGAGCCAGCCTGGTGCATGCGGACATGTGGACACGCTGGTCCAAGGCCTGTTGTTCCTCGCCCGCCCCTCACGTGGACAGCCTGTTCCCCACCACCTCATGAGATCCTAGGTGCAAACTCCAGGAGGCCGGCCTGGCCCCGGTCCTGAGAAAACCAGGCCCCCCACATTTGGCCCCCACAGGACACACTCCTAGGCCCCAGGCACTCAGGGGCCCCTTGGATCAATGCCCTCAGTTTTACCACTCGTGACCAGTCGCTGCCCACCTCTGCACCCCACGGCCCACAGCACCTGGGTCCCCAGGAAGCAGGCAGAGGATCCAGCCAACACCACCTCCAGCCCCTTTAACAGTGATGCCTCTAAATGCTGCACCTCAGATTCCCCACATCCTGGGAGAGCGGCCTTCCTTCTCAGGACTGAGGAATCACTCTCCCAGGGGCTACCAGCCTCTTTAAGGGGGACCTCTGGGGCTGAAAGGCTGCCGGCCTCTCCTCAGACGTCCCCAAGTGTTCCACAGCTGAGGACCCAGTGCAGCCAGGGGCTGTCCCACCAGGTCACAGGCCCGCCGCCTCCAGGACATTGGCTTTCCTGACACAGGCTCAGGCATCTAAGTCCTTCCACAGATGACGGCGTCTCCTGGGCCAGGCCCTGTCAGGGGGCGGGCAGACAGAAACCTCAGACAGGGCCTGCAGGAGCGTCCCGTCCAGCAAACAGTGTGGAGATCGGCGGGGAGGGGGTGAGCAGAACAGGGGACAGCGAGAACGTGTCCCGAAGGACACCATCCGGCTGGGTGTTCCAGCACTCAGAGGTGGCTCAGCCAGGAAGCCAGCACAGTGCACAAAGGCACAGGGTGAATCCAAGATGGTCCAGGCGAGGTCTGGTGTGGGGAGGGCGCNTGCAGGAGCGTCCCGTCCAGCAAACAGTGTGGAGATCGGCAGGGAGGGGGTGAGCAGAATAGGGGACAGCAAGAACGTGTCCCGAAGGACACCATCCGGCTGGGTGTTCCAGCACTCAGAGGTGGCTCAGCCAGGAAGCCAGCACAGTGCACAAAGGCACAGGGTGAATCCAAGATGGTCCAGGCGAGGTCTGGTGTGAGGAGGGCGCCTGACGCGGCTACAGAGCAAGGCCGGCCCTCCTCTGCCTCTATCCAACCCCTCACCTTCAGCCCACCCAGCCCCCTCCTCCGACCCACCAGAAACAGGCTCCTCCACTGCTGTCGGGAGACAGCAGCCTGGCCTCCAGGGGCCCCGAACACCCACAGGAAAGGACCAAGGCTGGGCGAGACGCCTGCAGGGAGGACCAGAGGGGAGAATGCAAGGAGACGTGCAGCCCATGGCATGTGGGGAGCTCAGGGAGGCGCCTGGGAGAGATGCCAGGAAAGGCCCAGAAGCGGGGCAGCCGGCAACACTGGATTTCCTTCCAGGAGGAGGGAGAATGGGGTGTGGCAGCCTCGAGCCAGACAGCCTCTGAGGTCACGCCCCCTGGCCCCACCCACCAGTCTGGGTGTCCACAGGGCACCGGTGAGAGGACGCATCTCAGGACAGCTCTAGGAGGCTTCTCTCATGGCTCGGTGGTAAGGAGTCGGCCTGCCAATGCAGGAGACATGAGTTCGATCCCTGAACTTGGAAGACCCCACGTGCCACGGAGCAACTAAGCCTGTGCACCTCAACTACTGAGCATACGTGCCGCAACTACTGAAGCCGGCATGCTCTAGAGCCCGTGCTCCACAACAGGAGAAGCCACTGATGTGAGAAACCCGAGCACCAGAACTAGAGAACAGCCCCTGCTCACCAAAACTACAGAAAAGCCCACCCAGCGATGAGGACCCAGCACAGCTAAAAAAAAAAAAAATCAGAAAAACTGGCTGAATGATTGAATAAGTGAATGCAATTTAAAAAGAAAAAACAGCTCTAAGGATGCCCCACCTCCTGCTAAAAAGGCCCCCCAAAAGGCAGGATGAAGTGATGGCAGTGGTACAACGTTCCTGAGTTCATCCTGCCTGGACGCCATCACCTGAATCAGGCCTGAAACCTTTTCAATTAACTTTGGGGAGGAACTGAAGGCCTTAGACATGCCCTTACTTTTCCCCAAAGGCACATTTCTGAACTTTCAGTCCCTGAAATGGTTTTCTCATAGGATGGTCCTGGGTGCACCTTGATAACGTGCAACAGAATTTTTTCCTGGCAAGCCATGCATAAAACCACCCAGAGGGGCCTGGGTCTCCTGCAGGTTTAGTATATCACATTCTCTGTCAAGGGGACACACCTAAATGTTTCTTTAAGGTTGCTAAGCCCAGTGGTTCTCAACTGGGGGTGGTTTTGTCTGCCAGGGGACAGCTGGCAGTGATGTCTGCTTGTCACAGCCAGGGAGGTTGTGGTTCTAGCCACTGCTGCCACCTACTGGTTAGAAACCAGCGGTCCTACGAAATACCCTACAATGCACAGGACAGCCCCCACAACAAAGAGGACCCCGCCCCAAATGTCAGGAGGGCTGGGGATGAGAAACTGGTGGAGCTGAGGGGCAGAGCAGGACGGTCGGCACTGGAGTGCGCTGATCTCCACAGTGTTTGCCTCTCTGGACAGGGGACGCAAAGATGCATAGATCTGAGTTCAAGTTCTGACATCGGCTGGTGTGACTGTGGGCAAGTTATTAAGGCATTTCCAGCCCTCTTAAAACAGGGAAAGTGCCTCCAGTCCTGTAACGAGCTGGGGGGAGGGATTAAATGAGGTAACATAGGGCATTTAACTCAGCTTTCTGGAGGCCAGAGGAGACACATGAGCTCAAAGCAACAAGATCTGAGACCTTGAACTCAGATCTATACATCTGCCTTGCAACAAGGGGAACAGCCCAGCTTGGAAAAAACAAACCCCTCAGTGCTGGGGAGGGAGCCAGGAGCTGTTTTTCCTGCAGAATGGGCCACAGTAAACTGGCTGGCATCCAAGGATGGCTCAGACGACTCTTTTCAGAGCCTTTCTGAAGGTTCCCATCCTCAGGAGACACCCTGGACTCCCCATCTCCTCCAAGGAAGCACGGTCCCCCTGTCCCTCAGTACGCCCTTTCTGGGAAGACTCCAACCACCTCATCTGCATCAAGCTTTGTTTACATCCCAGAACCAGCAGCCCTCTGGGAGGGGTCAGCTTGAGCCTGGGCCAGCCACCGGCTGCACAGAGTCCCTGCTAGCCAGAAGGTGACCTGTCCTGCTCCTGCCCCCATGCTGGCCTCCCTCCCTCCAGGGAGCCACGGTGACTGATCTGCAGGGGGGCACTTCTCCCCTCTCCTCTGCTCTGAATTTAGCCGTCAGCTCCACCCTCCTGGGACAAAGTGAGCAGGTTATGTCCAACCCAGCACACACTCCAGCACAACCCCCTGCCTCGCCTCCTCCTGAAGATGCTCCGCAGGTTCTTCCCGCATCTACACACCTCTTTCTCGCTCTCCCTCCTGACAGCTGGCCTCCACCCTGGGGACCTCCCGGCAAGCACCGGCCTAGAACCCTCTGACCTCAACGACGTGAAAAGTAGGAGAGGAGTGATTCTGTGCTCCAGCTGACCTAGCTAGGAGACCCTCCCTCGCAGCTGTTCCCCTATCAGTCCCCACTCCACCCCAAGGCAGAAGCACCGGATGCCAGGAAGGTCAGGGCCCAGGTCCACCCCGGCACTAACTGCTCCCGGGACGAAGGTCATCATCCCCATCGCTTCGCTGATCAGGCTGTTCCCTCTGCGGCCCCAGGCCGGTGATCTTCCCTTACTCCCAGGCTCAAGTCTACCGCTCCGCTCACCGAAGTCCTAGCCCTCCTCCCCAGAGCCTACCGGATCTGCCTTTCCGATTGCAGCCCACAGATTTACCTCTGGAGCGGCCCAACTGCGACGGCGCCGACAGACAGTTCTCTCCCCCATTCGCAGGAGTGGAAGTCTAGGGGGCGGGGCGTGATAAAAATCCAGCCAATGGATATGCACAGGCTTGGAGAGGGCGGGGCAGTGGGCGGGGCCAGATGCAGGAAGAAAGGAGGTGGGACTCCCGAAGTGCCGCGCCGGGGGAGGAGCTGGGAAGGGAGCTGGAGGCGGGACTCGGGAAGAGAGTGGCTGAGGGCTGAGGGGAGGAGCCAGGGAGGAGCACGTGGGGAGGGCGGGGTTTTCCGGGTTGGAGCGAAGAAACCAGCTGTGGGAGCAGCAGGGGTGTGGCTGGGATGAGGGTGGAGCTGAGAGAGACGAGAGCGGGCTCCAGGGAGACCCAGTGAGAGGCAGGTCACCCAGCAATGGGACCCTCCACTCACTCTGGCACCCCTCCGCTCCCCTCAACTAACCTGGGCGTAGCCTCCCATCCCCGAGCCTGGGTTCCCGCTTCCCCGTCCCCCCCCACTTCTGCTCCCCCACAGCCCAGATCCTACCCCTTCCTGGGAACCCTCACTTCGGCCTACGGCCTACGTTCTCTACCAGTCCTTTCCAGGAGCATTTTGATGTGATTAAGTCTGTCCAGTCCTGATAAATTAATTCTCCTTGACCCTCAGTCTTTCTCCAGCTTCTGCCAC